TGTACAAGACATGATGATAGAAATGTTTTGCAAGGGAAGTTCACAACAAATGTCCGGCGACAGACTAAAACTAAAAAGAAAAATCTGATTTCATCATACGGTGTGAATTGCATACGGTCTCTATTAAGAATCATAATTAAATGCATAACAAGTAGTAAGATCACTGAAAAAAGTGCGTTCTTTTTCTTTCTCCTTTCTTTATCGAGCAAACGGGTCCTAATGAAAAAATAGTTATGTACGTCATTCACCGGCAACTGCGCTTGCCTACATGAACGATGACCAAGAAAATCGACAAAGTTCCTTATTTTTTTTCTGCTCTATCAAGTAGTCGATCCTTGCCACAGTTCTCTGTGCCTGTGCATCGATAATATTCAGCGAAGGGTTAGATTTGAACTTTCGTTTTTTTTTTGTACTCTGACGTTTCCCTATTGTGTCCATAATAAGGAGATAGTCTATAACTATGAAATCGTCAACTAGCTTGACTAGCCAAAACAAAAGCAAATATTCAAGGAAGGAAGACTCACTCGGTTCTTCTCTAATTTGTTATTTAACAGTATCAGTCTAACTGAAACATATCTCGGCGTATTTTTTTGTCCTCGCTACACTCCATTCGCACGCCACTTTACCTTATTGTTATTTAATTGCATATGAATAAAGCGTTTTGTCATTGCGTTGGTAGTATTCGAATAAGAAAGATTGACTCATCCAACAAACAACCAATCCACAAGTTTTGAATTCAACGAAATTAAAACATTCGAACACACCGTTTAAAACAACCCAAAACTTTTTTCAAATATTTTAATTGGTTTGATGATGACACATCAGAAAGAATACACATCATGACCAAAGCTTGTGCGACAGCTATAGCATAACTTTTCACTTGAAATAATTTCATTAATATCGGCTTATCAATCACGGATGCCTCAGTATTCAATGTGAACAAACTATGATGATTGGTACCAATACATCTGTTAATTTTAGTGTCTAGTACCGCAATATACATGTTGGAAACAGGTTCATGAATGTAAAGACTCATTCAGCGCATTTCTATATGAATCCATATGAAAATGTTCTCTCAAGACAGAAGATCTGCTTCCCATTTTTCTGCTATGATCAATGAGAATCGGCGGATTCTATATTTTGACGGTTCACGAAATTTCAATTGGATTCCAGAGATTCCCATGGAATTCCGCCATATTCTCAAAACAAAGATTCTTAGTGTATTCTCGAGAATTCAGAATCTTGCGAAACTGCCGATTTCCTCTTGATCTACACTCACATCCAAACTAATAATGTCGTTTGCATACATACAACTACAACTATTTCATATAGTTAGAGATTTTGGTGCTACTTTTAGTGTTAGGATTTTCAATGACAAAATTTACTCAACAATTAACTCTTTAATTCGGTTTTCTGTTAACCTAATCTCCTTTCCGAATAAACTAAGAATTTTAATTCTTTAGCATCGAATGGTGATAAAGTGAACAATAAGAGATAATAATATGTTGACTTTTTTCAGAGAGTAATAAAGAAATAGCTAAATGCTTGATCTTTCACACGTTCATGTACATAAAAGGTACAAAATATTAGTGAAAAATCTCTGGTCACGGTTCTGAAAAACCTGAATCTGCAGCTTCCTCATCCAGCTACAGGTCCTTGAAGAAAATGAAGAAAAAAAAATGAGATGTATTTTGTCTCAGAGATCATATACAAACGTACCGATGAATTAAGATATGTATCACACCTCAAAATTAGCCGTTCAGCCATAACTTCATTTTTTTTGCCAAAAGCCATTTTTCATGTATGAAAACAGAGAAAAACTCGTTTTTATTTTCTACCTAAAAGCAATTAAAATGGTTACTTGTAAGATCCACTAAATGTCTGATCTTAATACTTTAAAGATAGATTTCATTTGACTTTAATTTTTGTTAATTGATTTTAAACAAAATAGTTCTAATCGAAAGAAGTTTATTCGTGAATCAAAAGCGACGATAATGAATCAAAATGTATCATTAAAGCTGAACAATCAAAATCAAACAGCGCCAACTTAAGGTCTCCCTCAAAAAAGTCACTTTTCGTCAAAATCACCGAAATTAAGAAAAATACTGGAAAAGATAGCCCGTTATCTGATCTCTCATAAACGACAAAAATTTTTACTTTGCACCTCTTTTTTTCCAAAAATTTTTGAAGATTTTCATCATTCTCTATTCGAAAAACAAGCTGTTTTTGAAAAAAAACCGAAAATCTTTTTCGATTTTTTTCGTTTTATAGGTTCTCGATCGTATCTCCAAGAATTCTCGAAGGAGCTTCATTGTAGCCAATAGTTTTCTTTTGTTTGAAAGAACGTGTAAAACTGCAGTGCGTATGAGAGCAAGTTGTTTTTTCATTAAGCTTTGCTTTTATTATATATAGAATTCTTTATATAATTAGAGCGTCATTTTTGGAGAGTGTTTTTGAGTCATTGAAATTTCCATCCCTTTTTTTTCCCTTAAAAAGTAAGAGCTTAAAAAATGGACCCTCATAGGCACTGCATTCTGACATGCTCTTTCAAACAAAAAAGATATATGAAATGTATAGACTGAAGAACACAGAGAACTTTTGGAGACGAAATTACCGATTTTTTGACTCTTGTTTGGCCAATATCTTCGTCAAACATCATGATGCAGGACTGAAAGTTTTACTATAGCCTTCCAACACCAGGAACAACATATCCTGAAAATTTCATGCCATTCAAACGTTCCTGGTTTGAGATCGATCTTTGAGGAGGGGAAGGACCTTAATTAGAATGTAACCAGAAAATTATGATTGAGTAGTAACATAGAAAAAAGGCTTCAGGAACAGACTTCCGAGAGAAACAACGTTGTGGTTCGATTAAAAAGAGGCTTAAAAGTCAATAAATTTCATTTTTCTATATGTTGACAGAGAAGAAAGACAAAGTGTGTCATTACTTTTCTGCTCTGTGAACTATTTTGAAAGAAAACAATGATCACTGGAATCGTTCGAAATATGCTCGCTGACTGAATCGGATCTTGACGGTGTGGGTGTCGGGGAGGGTGGTACTTCTGTCATTCACCCACATCCACATCCACACCCACATCCTGAACTTGTTTCCTTAATCAATATATTGGAATACAAAGGCAAAACTCTTCGAAGCTATACTTATTACATAATGAGTCAAGTATGTATTGCCCATGACTTTCGAGGACAAAAGATCTTTGATCGAATGTTACATAAGCATCGCGAGATGTACGCTGATTGCTACCAACCCCTCATTACGAATATTTCAGATAAGAACATTCGTTTGCTCCGTGCTCACGCTCGAGTAGGTTTTGAAACGATATACTGATATAAAACTCCAACTTCAAATGAAACGTGGCATGTCGTACTCTGAGATTGGTACAAATGAACTTCTTCATTTTTTTCTATCAATAAAAGCAGTTCTGAGTACTAGCCTGTCATCCTGATGTGACTATGTTATGTTCCATTTTAGATTTCAAATGGGAAAATGAATACTACTAATATCGATTTAATGGACCAGTATAATTTTCATGATATCTTGTAGTGAATATTTGCCAATAAATAATATTTTAGATTTTTTACAAACTTGTTTGATCTTACTGAAATATTACTAATAATCATAAGATTTGAACTTACTTAAGAAAACTTCATGTGAAAATGGTCTTCATTGCTCGTAATCTATCTATGGATGATCTTCCATCTATTTCATGGTCTGGATCGCCTACTCATCTCAAGTACGTTACTGAAGCGATCGAGCGGGCATCTAGAGGTGAGGTTGATTATCTCGCCATTGATGTTGATGATATGCCGGGCGGTACAGGCGGTGTGGACTATACAATTAACGTCGGAGTGGGAACACTGTATCAACTTTCCGTTCATCCTGATTATCAGTCGCGAGAGATTGGCACTGCACTCATTCAAGCTCTCAAGAAAAGGACACTAGATCATGGTTTCATCATTACTGAACTATCGATCGAGATGGACAATGATCGTGCTCGAGCATTGTATGAGCGACTTGGATATAACATCGTTGGAACCAAAACCGAAAGTTGGAATCGAGAAACAGACGACGGCAAGATCACGGTGTACACCTGCGAATGTCTTCACATGCGAAAGATGCTTCAGTGAACCCACGAGAAAATTTAAACAAAAACGCGTTTGAACGCATTTTTGACAGCAAACTTGTTGTCGCTTGAATTTTAGGGGTGGTTTTTTAGATATGTCTTATACAGCGTTTTTATTTGTATTGAAAATGGACACTTTTGTAAGAGAACGTGTTTAACTCTTGGAGTTCCATAGTGGCAAAAATGCTACATGTTTTATAATTATTTTTCGCAACATAATTTATAAAAATTAGTACGTAATCTCTTGGAATGAAGCAAAGCAGAATTTGCTGATTCCTCATTGTTTCATTCTAAGATATTACTTACTAATTCCTTCTCTCTTGGATACACCCTTGTTGCCCTACTCAGCCTTCAGAAACGTTGATAGGAGGCTATTTTTCAGCAACTATTTTATTGGCTTTTGGAGAAAATTTCTTAATCATAAGTTCAAGAAGTCCTCAAGACAAAAGGGTGTGGGTGTGAGTCTGGATGTTTTCTTCTTCACACTTACACCTATACCCGCACCCACACCCACATCCTCAAGACGTAAAACTACAAGTGTGTCTCCTTTAGCGGCTTTCCATGTTATCATATCGAATGTAGTATAAAAACCTTTCCTTCTATCGCCAAATATCATCCTTGAATAGTTCACTAATAGAGTACCACCCTGGGTTGAGCTTGTCAGTGGTAAAACTTTGCCACAGGGCACTATATTTTCCTGAATTTTATATATCTCGAGAATGAAAACCACAAACAATCTCTAAGTCTTAAGACATAGTACTTGTTCCATCAGTTCGATGGTCTAAGTTTATACTATACGATGTCCAAAACAGAAGCTGTCCTGATTGGCCGTCCAAGGCTAGATATAAAATGTATCAATGACTAGCGAGATATATATTATATATTTCAGTTTGAAATGACTGTAGCATACATTTAAAAAAATAAAACTTCCCATCATCAACTCATTTATTTCCTTCTTACATTCGATCGCCAGAATCATTGATTCATCGAATGTGAAAGAAAAAAGAATAATATTCAACGTTTCAAGGTTAATACATTGGATGCTCTCGTTGATTATTAGTTAGGATTCGATTGTTCGATGCGTCGGTTTCTATTTTATATCACGACCTTTTTTTGAAAGATTTTCTCCAAAACAGTTATGAATCTGTTTCCTATTCCTGATGTCCCCTATTATACGAAATAAAAATGATTATTCAATTCAGTGTCATTTACCACGGTGGTAGAAACTCAGTTTTGTCCGCTGTCGGGTGCGTGGTGTGGGTGGGTTTTGATCTTCTCTTCAAATAGACCCACACCCCACACCTCCACCCACACCCACACCCACTCACAAATTGCAGAAGAATTGAGAAAATTTTTGAAAGAAACATGTGCAAAAATGATGAACAAAATGTCTTATCAATTACAGCTGATCTATGAAAACAATGAAGAGCATGTTCGTACGCATTGAGTTTTATTATAATTTAGTTTAAAAAAAAAAATTATCTTATAAAGTGTTTTCCATCATACGCTTATAACTATCATTATTCAAGAAAAAAAGTCGCAAATCTCAAGTACAAAATTTCATATATTTCAATATTGTGTATGCATTTCAACGCTAGTTTTAGCTAGATATCCGAAACATTTGGAAAATTAACAATCTTGGAGAGACCCATATGTGATAAAAATAGCAGGCTTCACCATCACGAGAAGTGTGAAAAATGATGTCGTGGACAAATTATCCTCAGTTATTATGAAACACCCTTTAAGTTTTAGCCAAAATCTAAATTTCATCTGTAGAAAGTAGTTTGATCACCTAGTACAACGTCTATTAACAATGGTTCATCTACAAAGTTTTTCGTCAAAATCAATAGATGTAAGTTTAATTAATCCTGGTAAACATAACTTAAATCAACAAAGTTTTGTTAATATCTAAATCAAAGACTAACGTAAAAAAATCATAATGTTTAAAAGATGATAACAACAAGACGAATGAAAGTAGATATAAATAATGATTTTAAGTTTATTTTATTTATAATGATGCTTGATCAGAAAATACACCAGGTGTTGGTTTGCTAATACCAAATGTTTCACTAGTAATCGGAGCATTTGTTTTGGCTAATGCTGTTCGATGATTTAAAATTGGAGTAGTGAAGCTAATCTTTTCAAATGGAATTAATGATTGAAAATATGATAAAGAAAGTATTTTATTAATATACGAAAACGTAAATGGATATCGTTCGACATCAAATTTAGCATTAGCCATAAATAAATTACGAAAGAAACATGTTATACTAATATCAGCAATGGTAACATGATTTTCACCAAACATATAACCTTCTTTTGGAACATTTTCTTCTAAATATTGTAAGACTTTTGGAATTTCAATATTTAATGAACGATCAATTATTGTTTGATCGCTTTTTTTTCTCCAAACAAACGGTTTAATGACAGCTTCATTATAATATTGCCATATAAATACATTTCCTATATAAGTATCGGCATATTCTTCATACCATCTTGCTTTAGCTCGATTTACAATATCACTTGGATATATTGAAACAAAATTAGGACTTGGATAACCATCCTCTAAATATTGACATATAACAGATGAATCACATAATGTAACTTTATCATCGGTAAATACTGGAATACGACGAAGAGGAGAAAGTTTAGAAAATTCTTCATTGCCATAAAATGGAACGATTGGATCAATTTCATATGGAATACCTTTAATAGCTAAGCACACTAACACTTTTCTCACATATGGAGATAAGTATGAACCAATAATACGAACTTTGTTTATATGAGACATCTATATAAAATAGATAAAATGAAGCCCATTTCTTATAAAACTTAATTTCAAAATTAGTCTAATTTAGAGCCCTGAGCGATCATCCCAATTCCAATCCAACGTAGTCGAAATTTTCTCTCTGTATATAAACAAAAGAAAACATATTTGTCATCGGCGACCATTTCTGGCAGCTTTTATTAGTATGTATTTCTAACTACGTTTAAATGGGAAAAAGCTTTTCGGAATTTCATGGGATCGTAGTTAAGCCTAAGGAGCGAGATCAAGACGAAAAAACTCAATGCCACAGGATCCTAATCTCAACGCCAGTCGAGTCCAAATTACTTAGAAGATGAGGTATAAATTTCACGTACTAAGTATGAAATTGCAGCCCCACATAGATGTGAAAATGCGCAGATTTTAGTGATGCACCTATTGTTATTGCCTTAGTGAAAAACAACATTTTTAATAAACATCTGACACAAAATGCATCTATACGCCCGGAAAAAATACTTTCAGTCTATATTTCAAATGTATAGTCATTATAAAAATGCATTTTTTTAAAACTAATTACGTATTCTGAAAGCGCGTGAAATTTTCTATCACCCTGTATATTTGTGCTTTAGTTTGTACTTGTTCATTATCAAATAAAATTGAGTACAATGAAGGCACCATCATATTGAAATTTTCACAAACTTGATCTTGTCATCGTCCTCAAAATTAGTTGTTTAAATTTTTTTTGTCACTAAAGAAATACCTTTTTAGAAAAGTAATCGTAAATTCTAATAGACCTTGAAACTCTCTGTCACCCTGTATATTTACCTATCTCCTTGTATTCAGTTATTGGAAAATATTTGTGTACAATGAACACATCTTCAATTGACAAGTACCAAAAATCTGCATCTTTCGTTACTCTCGGAGTTTCCTTTTTGAATTCATTATTTCCATGAGATTTTTTTAAAATGCAATTGTGGATTCTGATAGAGCTTGCAATTCTCTATCGTCCACTATACTTGTCAACTATCATGCATTTATATGCTGGAGAATAATCTAAGTATTACGCAGGTACATTCCTTAATAAGCACTAAAAATAAGTAGTTTGTTTTTATTATTTCTTTCGTTTTTTATGTTAAAAGTTTAGGATGATAGAAAATTCGAAGCTCTATCAGAATCTATAATTTCTTTTTTTAAATTCATTTCCATAGTAACTATATTTTCAAAAAAAAAGGAGAAAAGTAACGATTTTTGGTACTTATCAATTGAAGGTGTGTTCATTGTAGTCAAATTTTTTTTTCTATAGCTGAATATAAAAAGATAGGTAAACGTACCGGGTGATAGAAAACTCCACACTCTTTCAGAATATTTAATTAGTTTTAAAGAAATATATTTGTATAGTGACTGTATATTTGAAATACGGACTGAAACTATTTTTTTCCGACGTATAGGTACTTTGTTTCCATTGACAAAGCATCAGTGTTCAGAATTCCGAAAAATGAAATTTCGAAGATTTCAAGCATTTGTGTTCGGAACTATACGTTACTTCCTAAAATGATGTAATTTCCGAAATTTCTGAAATTTTCAATATGTCTAAAAACTTTTAATTTGCACTGCTAAATAGTAATCGAGCTGATGGAAATTTCAGAAATATGGGTAATTTCCTTTTTGTTTTGGAAATCTGAACATACCTCAAAATTGTTTAAATACAAAAATTGTTTTAGATGGAAGAGATTCATCAAATTCAGACATGCATAAGATATAAAATGAAACTGATTTGGACTGTAAGAGAAAATCGAATTTTACTGCTAAAAATTCGACTATTTTTGCACTTATGAAAAATCAAGTTTCTTATACAGTTTGTAAAAAATTATCCGTAACAGAATGACATAAATTCGACTGAGATTATATGAATCGATAGGAAAATCAACGCGCTATTAAGATATATACTAATACAAAAAAAAATTCAAATTCTTAGACAAAGAAAATGTTCTCGAAAAAAGCCGATATGCTTCAATAAAAAAAAGTTCATGTACAAATTTCTCAGAAAATGAACAATTTTACGATACAAAAAATAAGTTTAGTGAAAAATACCTAAGTAGATAGAGAAACAAATATTCTATTCTTCAACATAAAATCAAACAATCTCAGTGTCCAAGTCGGTAATAATTATCGAAGACATTAACCGAGAAGTGAATTCAAAAGTGCAAGGAGGGAAAATCGTTTTTTTCATTGCTTTTGAAAATTTATTAAATTTTCGGTTAGGATATAGAATAAATCAAAAATAAAACTATCTGATCTAATAGAGTAACCAATGCTCTACTTAACTATGTCAAAACAATTAGCATACGAGGTTCGATAAAAATACAGCAAATTGAGCAACCATGTCAAAAATAACGTAATTAACCTGTACATTAAATAAGAAGTAAATGGCTACTATTTAAGTGCTAAGTAATTTTAAATAAAAGCTAAGTAAAAAATTAAATTTTTGCTAGGTAATTTATTGAAAAAAGTTCTAAGTAAAACAGTTTGATACTATTAGTAAAATATTTTGAATCGCTAAGTAAATGTATAATTTTTGTTATGTAAAATGACATGAATATCTAAGTAAAAAAGTTAATTGCACAGTTCTTGTATCAATAGAGCTTTTGTTGTTTTTCGTCGTCGTTCTTGTTTTCTTTTTTTTTTTTATCGAAAAGTATATCCTTTGCTGATAGAGATGTTTTACAAAACTTCAACATAATAGCTATGCCTAAAATATTTTTCAAATATATTTTTTGAAGAAGCTTGGAAAAATCGCAAAGTCGGTTTTTTTCATTCCGACACGTTGCTATAATTTAGTTTTTTAATTCAATGTAAACTTTCAATGACAGATCAGTAGAAGTATACAAGAAAACGAGGGAAAGAACGTATCAAAAAGTGCCAGACAGAAGAGAAGTCTCGAGAAAGCAATACAAATCTTATGTAACAGAAATAGCAAGAGAAAAACAAATAGGATTGTACTGGAGCATTTTCTAAGAAAACAAGCACCTACATCAGAACGAAAAAATCTATAATCGATATATATATGTGTGGTAGCATCCAGTGTTGAATTCACTTCAATATTAGATCCGCCTAGGTCAATCTCGGGTGCTCACTTTGGGCTGGTTCAACGTCGGATTGAGGAATTTGTTTTAATTAAAACCTCGACTACTCTCCAGAGAAATGTTAGATCGAACTTCTTGTTGATAAATGGCCTTGCAACAATGATACTCTAGAAAATATAATAGTCGATATACAAATTTAAGTAACATTCGTGAACCTCTACGTAAATCTCAACAGAAAAACTATCCATTCGAGTTCAAATTCGAGCCTAGGTTCTGCATTGATGATTTTATTATATGAAGTACCATTGCTCCATTACAGTTCATCAACGAGAATTTCAATTCTACATATACCTTAAGAGTGATGAAGGTTTTAATAAAAAAAAATTTCTCAATCTAACAATGGACTAATTTAATGTGAACATCCGAGATTGGAGTGAATTTTAAATTGAATGTTGACATATATATCACGATACCAGTCGAACAATGATAGAAGTAAAGCAAGAGAAAACAATATATACATTATAGTACTATAAAAAATTTTCCTTATCTACCATAATCGTACTTTACATTTACTGAAAATTACTCAGTAATAATAATTTTTACTTAGCGATTATCTATCAAACTTAGCCAATATTTTTTTTTACTGAGAAATTTTTAATTAACTGAGCATTCAATTTTTTTACTGAGCACATAGAAGTTTTACTTAGCAAACAATTTGTAGCTGAAGTAAATATGCAGCAATAACAACTAAATAAAGTATATGAAACAGATGACATTGAAAATCTAAAAAGAAAAAGAGAAATTTCAGTGTTGAATTCAATAAAACTAAAAGAAAAAAAAAAGGCTTTTTAGGCCCATCTTCAACTAGAATAAATAAACAAGAGGAAGACGAGCAACTTTTAAATCACAGCGTAACAAATAAGGAAAGTGCATTTTTACTTGTTACAAAATACTATCAAGATATTGTGTTTTTGCTAGCAAAGTACAAAACACAGTACTTTTTCAAAATTGTAAGTACCTTGGGTACTTTGCTTTTGCTTTTGAGCTATTTAACATTAAAAACACGGCTGAAAAAACGTTTAGAAAGAATTATGCCGTTGTTTTCTTTTGGTCAACGAGAAACAATTCATTTTTAATCTTGCTCTTCCATTGGTAAATGTATTAGACGAAAGAAAATGAACTACATAATGATGTCGCTCTTAGATTTTAGTGATTCACCTATCTTTATTTCCTTAGTGGAAGGGTCATTAGAAGTGAACTAAACATGTGAACCAAAATCAATAAACTCACTTCATATAGAAGTTATAAGTCAAACAAATGAGATTTCTCAGTCTTGTAGCACTCCAAACGATGCTTTTCTCTTTTCTTCAACGGGATTGAAACATAAGATGGCAGTCATATAGTAAAGTTACAAAATTTAATTCACAATTTATCATCATTCCTTTGCATTTTTTTCATATGATAATCCGTGATTAATTTTTACTGAATATATAAGAAATATTCTTGTGAGCAAACGACAAAAGAACAGTTTATCGATGGTTTAGTAAAATTAAACCCTATGTGTCAAAACAATAAAGCCAAGTCAATTAGAATCATGAAGTCGAATGAGTTTTGTTCAGCTGAATTGATAGCAAATTTCTGAATCCAGGAAAATGAATTCATAGTGTGATTTTTTACAGATCTAAGAGCTAATTAAATTGAGATATATTCATGAGATCTATGGATTCATTTGAAAAAAATTTGGGTGTGGGTGTGGGTTAAGCGAAGATGAACACACACCCGCAATGAAGATACCATTCACATTGCAAATACCCATTCGCATCCTATCTTGTCTAACTAATTTAAAAGTCTATAACGACGAATTGAAAACTGTAACACGGAACTTCACAATAGATGCAACGCGACGCCATTGTGCTGATATGAAATGATCAACTTTCGAAGAGTTAACATTTGTTTCAAAAGATCGTTATTAATATTTTTCTACATTGTTAATGGTAATTTTTGCTGATACTGTCAATAAAAAATAATGTTATTATTCATAATTGAAATTATGCATTTTATTTTTTCAATGAAACGTAAGTGTGAGTGTCGACTTGCATCTTTTCCTCACTCATACTAACACGTTCCTTGATAGCGACTCATTCCAATATCCTATCAATAATTGGAAGGTAAATGATGCTCTCATTCCTAATATGCCATGAATGATCGCTTACGAAAAGAACACTTATTTCAACAGCATCGAGCACGACAATCTACAATCTCTGTGTACAAGTAGATGAAACTGAGCAAAGATACCGATGCACAATTTGGCATACTTCTCAGTCAACATTTCAATGCTGAGCCCACATGCTTAAGGTTGTTAATTCACTGCAACCTAGTTGTCAAAACGAAATGGATAAAGAAATAAGAGACAAATCAACTTCAGTCAGTGTGTCGAGTATGAATGTCTGTGTGACGGAATCTAAACGAAAAGTGATAACGGTGGACTGAATAGGCATACCAATGCGATAAAAGCGAATGATGACGTGACAAAAAATAAGAATAAAAATAAAGTACGACATTGAAGCGAGAACAAGAAACAAAGTTACTTATAATCGGTGCTCCTTCCTCGCAACTCAGCCTACGAGCTTTCTTTTGAAAGAAACGATAGAAATTACATAAATAGGCAGACATGATGCAAAACAACTGCGATTGTTGATTTTCTTTCTCCTTCAGTCGATAAATATTGATGACAGAAAGTCGTTACTTTTTCTTTTTTTGTTCCTTTCTTTCTTGTAGTGTGTTTCGCTTCAGTAATAGTTCTCTACGATAAGAATACGTGTTCCACGTCAGAAGAAAGAAATGATCTAAAGATGGACATCATAGTCTACTTCAATCCTCATTTTTGATTTTCTTTTTCCTCTATAGATATATATTGATGACAGAGTAGTGTGAGTTTTTCGCCTATTTTTACAATATGAATTTTTTTTATTTTTACCACTCTAATCGCTATTTCTGACATGTACGTTAATGCTGCTGAAAGGATGGAACAAAATTCCGTTAAGTGGGAGGTATGATGTCAAACAACCTTTATTTTCGATTCTGGGTTTTTTTTCTTTTTCTTTCATACAAAAGCGATGATAAAAGAGGCATTTTAATTTTTTTTCTTTTTGTTTTTATCCCAGTGTCGGTATCCTTTGATGCGTGCATGGATACCGCTGAAGAGATGGACAGAAATCATATTGAGATGAAGACAATAGTGTTCAAGAGTATTCCTCCTCCTCGTTTCGTTCTTTATGAAGATGAAACTTCAATGACAGTTAGTTGATAGATGTCCGATCATTCTGATATTTTTATTATTTTGTTTATGACCCCAACGACGACATACTGTCGGAGTATAAAGTTTCTATCGGATAGGAGAGTAAAAATTGCATACCATTGATTGAACCCTTACTAGCGATCAGACTATAGCCGTTCTAATGAACGTTCAACGAATCATCTGTGTATTAAATCACAGTTCTTGAATAAATTTCAGAAAACTGTATTTGTATGATTTTGACAGTCATTTTCATTACACCACAGTCGACATTTTAGTAAAACAAAAGTCACAATTTTACTTTCAGAATTTTCGACAAAAATGGGTCAGACCACAGGAAATCTTGGTCAACATTTGGGTGAAGATGCTGCAAAGATACTGAGCGAATCAATGAACAAACTTGCAAAGAACATGTGTGATATAGGTCAGAGCATCCGTCAACATCCTTTAACTGTTTTTTTCATAATGCTACTATCATTGCTGTTGCTCTTGGTCAATTTAAAATTGCTTCTCTTTGTTCTTAATGATCCCATTGGTAAACCACTCTTCATCACTGTCATTGTTATATTTGTATTTTATCTTTGGAAACATCAAGGCAATGGTAAGCTTACAGTAATATTTATCTATACAACAAAATCGAGTTTTTGCATTTGGAACACAAATGAATGTGTTAGTTTTCTCGATTCGGAAAGGATGAGTCATTAAAACGTAAAATATGTATCACTCTCTCTCGATGCAAAGGTTGATAGTACTTCTGGAGCAATTAAAATTTCTCGTATTCATATTTTATACAATTGAGACTTTATTCTTTATTATAATTCTCAAGAATTTTAGAGAATTCTGCTGGATGATGTCAAACTACTTAGAGACAAAATCCAAATATAAGGTTTTTGTAGAAAAGTTGTTCCATAATGATTGACCGATCAAGATAGACGACATATCGATATGTGTGCGAATTCCGTGAATTCGAAACTCTTAAGAATTTTGAGAACTCAAGCATTAATAAAAAATAAGCAGTCATCAACTATAGCTACACTCAACTGAAAGAACTCAACGAGTCTAAGGAAACTGAATAACGCCAGGAGGATGTAAATATGATTGTTACTAAAGAAAAAATCTCAACTGAAACTCATATCTACAATCACTTCCTCCTATAGTTCCTTTGAGTCTCTTGATTTGTTAGAGTTCGCATAGCTCTTTGAGTTCTGAAGATTCTTGAACATCCCTCGATTCTACTGATAAGTGACTGCCTAAAAAATTTCATATTGCCACTATTCGACAGTCTATGCTTTTCGTTTTTATGATTTCTTAAAATACGTCATTGACATGTTATTTGAATAATACTACAATTGTATTACTATTTCTTTGCAAACATGGAATTTTTTATATCATGTTAGTAATTAGAAGAAACAAAACGACCTATGGTCGTCATATATATAAAATATTTGTTTGTAGTCATATTAAAAAACAGTTGGCACAGATTGACGTAACTAAAAGTACCTTAAAATGATCTAAATAAATTTGAAGCACAAAATTGTGCTGCTTCCTCCTAGGATGTAATTACTTTTCAATTAAAAGATAGCAGACAGAAGTTTATCTGAAATCTTGCAAAAACGGCTACACCAAGATATTCAAGCAATCAAAAACTGTGTTCATGTGCTATAACTATGGAATTCACTTACTGATTTTTATCATTGATCTGAATTCTTTAGTGTATTAGATGAATAGTTTAGAAAATTTGCCGTTCGATTAGAAATCAGGATAATTGATAAACGATTTACTTAGTTCCATTTGACATTTCACTAAAAATCTAGCTATTTCTAGTTATCTCATAACGCAATAATTAATTTTAATCTGACTTTTCCCCTCTTACTTATTTTTACGCATACGATTGACGATCGTAACGAAAGAGAATACTTTCCTCGAAGAGTATCGAACACCAAGTAATTGTTCATTCTGTACAGCGCAACCAAATCATTCTCGCAATATCAAATGGCAACAGATAGGTGTTACCATTGCTGGAGGCCATGGCGAAGGCAATGCACTCAATCAACTAAACCATCCTCATGGTCTCTTTGTGGATAATGATCAATCTGTCTATATCGCTGATTTTAGAAACCACCGTATTGTAGAATGGAAGAGTGGTACAAATAGATGTCAAGTTGTGGCTGGCGGAAAAGGCGAAGGAAACAAAATGGATCAATTAAAATGTGCAACAGATGTAGTTGTCGACAAAGAGACTGACAGTCTCATCGTTTGCGACCGAGATAATCGACGAGTGATGCGATGGCCTCGTGGCAAAAGAAAGCCAGAAACAATCTTGACGAATATAGCTTGTTACGGATTAACAATGGATGATCAGAAATTTCTCTATGTCTCTGATATCGAAAATCATTCAGTGAAAAAATATCGATTGGGAGAGACAAAGGGAACAATAGTAGCGGGTGGGAATGGAAAAGGTAATGGTCTCAATCAGCTCAATCTTCCTATTTATCTCTATGTCGATCGAGACCAGTCGGTGTACGTATCGGACACCAATAATCATCGTGTTATGAAGTGGATGAAAGATGCGAAAGAAGGAATTGTCGTGGCTGGTGGTCGAAACCAAGGTGATAAACCAACTCAATTGTCTCGTCCTCAAGGAATATTCGTCGATCATTTGAGTACAGTCTATGTAGCAGATGGGGGCAATCATCGAGTGATGCGTTGGCATAAAGGGGCGACACAAGGTGATATGATTGTTGGTGGAAACGGTGCAGGAGCTGGACCAAATCAACTGAATTGTCCTGGAGGCTTGTCTTTGGATCAACATGAAAATATCTATGTTGTTGATTACAATAACCATCGAGTACAACGGTTCTCAATCGAAGCAACGAATTAGTTTTATACAATCATCATCAATAGATAATTAGTTTGTATGTTGCTTAACTTTTGAAATAAAAATATCTGTCATTACATACGAATTATATTTTCCAATACAGACACGATAGAATGGTCATCATTAAAGAAAGAGAGCAAGTCACAGGCATAGAAAATAAAGAAGGACGTAATAGCTCGATTGCCATCGATAGAGTGAGAGCTTGAGAATGTGCAGGAGATTCATACCTTCATTATAGAAGGAAACAGGTATAACAAAAAAACTAAAAGCACGATACCATTGGAAAGGCAGCCATTGTCAGCTTTTTCCAAACATACTATTATATCCAATTAGGATTTTTTTGCTAGCAGACATAGATTTATTCAGAACACTACTTTCAACAAAGAGATTTTAAGAAAAAAAAACAGAGTGTTGAATAGGATACATCACTTGCCAAATCGTTCTAACCCTCTAGCCTTCTATTGAGGGTGTATGAAAAAAGAGGAGTAAAGAGGATCAATGTAAAAATAAAAAAGAGGAAAAGTAGAAGGGTCTTATTTCAACCTTCAAAATCATAAAAAAAGCACTTAAAGTGAAGGAAAAGCTCCAACATTTCAAAACTGATCCTTCATTAACCTCTGTTTCGTAGTGACTTTAACTATAACGGGTGTTCCAAAAGTTTCTGAAAAAATGTCAGACTGTTGTATTTGAACAGAAGGGGATAGAAAGCTAATTCTTTTTTTGTTAGATAGAACTTGGTTTCTACTTTCAAAGCACATGTTTCACAGACTTCTATTCATACACTAGTAGCAAAATTTATTCAGTTTTTATGAACCTCCTAAAAAGCAGGCCGCAACATTTTTAACGGTAAATACATTGTATAGTTAAACAAAGGCATGTGTTTGTGAGCTAAAATGATTTCTATGCTGTGTGATTGCTCAAAGACCACCAAGAGAAAAATTCAGCTTAAGCAAATCTTTCTTTATCGAGACTCACTTTCTTAAAATTATGCCGGCATATATTGCAAAACTTTCTGTAACAGTCTGTTTTCCAGTTTCAGATATCTAATTACCTTAGAACAAAGAATATAGTGAGGTTTTTCTTATATTCTTCTAGCTTGCAAAAACCTTGATCTGGTATGGTTGATCTTGCTTTAATTGCTTGTGAAAATGAATATTTAAAGTGATGAGTTTGAAACAATTGATACACATAAATTTCCAAAACTGTAAAAATTAGTTTTTCCTGCCAACAGTAAATGATAACAATCAAGTTTTTCAATAGTTTACGTGTAGCAAAAACTTATACCATTTTGTATATAACGTGCAAAAAAGAGTCCAAAAGTTGCATTTAAGGCAAAATATTCAACTTTTTTTTGAAAAAACCAGTAACAAAATTGCAGACATTTACAGTACCTGTTTTAGCAGTTTTAGAAAAACTGAATTGATTTGTTTACTTATGTATGAATAGAAGCTTTCGTAACATTTTCTTTAAGAATAGTAACTACGCTCTATCTAACAAACAAAAAGAGCTAGCTTCTTCTCACCTTTTGTTCACATACAACAATTTGCCATTTTTCCAGGAACTTTTGCAACACCCGTTATGTTACGTTATATTGCAATTGAATGTTGTAAAAGTCGATTGAACTTCAATCGATTACTTTTCATCATCTTTAACTGCGTTGGCCTATTTTGTTGCAAATTAGTTCCGTTTTAGTTCTTTTTCTATCTAAGATAGTTGCATATAGTATTTTCATAGGGCTAATTGTTTTTCGGTGTGAAGAAGAAAAACAAAAAAAATTGTGTTCACTATCATACATGAACCTACTATTCCTGGAAATATATATCTATGCTAAGTTTTCAACGTACATTTCCCTTTTTGATAAAAAAGAGGATAAAAAGAGAAGTTAAAAAAAAAGAGGAAGAAGAGGAGAAAGAGGAGGAGTGGATGGCCGGAGTCCTTAATAATCAGCGTTACCACTTCAAGTCATTCATAGGAGTATAACTCTTTCATACCAGTTCCATCTTTAGAAACCCACCGATCGGTTGATAGAAACTGAATCGGTTCTTTTTGAATATGATCTGTGACAGTGTTACGTAACTAATTACATGGTCAACGAATTTTAGACAACTCTTAGGAAATTACATTAGGCTCGTGTTCATTATGGAAAATCGAATTTGATAGAGCATATATGTACCAACATCATCGACTGTGGAGAGAAACGTCTAAAAGTAATCTATTTCTTTCAACGGATAGAATTTCAATTTATTATTTTATCAATAAAAGTTGTATAGTGTCCTTCCCTTGTGTTAGTTCAAGAAAACGGACACTAGACACAATACATTAACATACTGTAACAAAATTTGATTGATGGTGAAATATTTGAGGACAAAAATTACTTATCAATATTGCTTTCCATAGGAAACAAAGAAGAAGTCCAGAAGTGTTACACTTCTTTTTCTGAATATTTCGGTTAATGTTTTTCGTTGATATTGTTATATGATGTTATTCATGTCAATAGTACCTACTGTTTTAATTATTTTCGAAACTTTGTCTGTTTGTTTGTACTGTTCCGTGCAAGTCTAGATCTTGCTCTGCTTGTAAATTACTGCATTCACGTACGCTCACTCTCAATAAATATTTCTGTCTCACCAATTAAGATCATTAATAATTTTCATTTAGCATTGTCAAACTGGATTCGAAATAAACTTAATATTCTTAGTTTTATTATTGACAAGGGTGTGGATGTGACTGTGATGAACAATAGACACCAACACCTTCATTCAAAATGATTTGCTGTTAATTTTCATTTTTTTTCTGATAGATATTTCTAAACTTTTAACTTTCCTACTATAAGAGTCAGTGGCGTTTAATTCAAAGTCATTTTATTGAGCCTATTTTGTTGCATCTTTAGCTCATAGAGTGAAATCCACCACTACTTATTCTACTATTCAAAAATTTATTCTTCAAATCGAGTCAGAACTGTTGGGCCATCCCTTATGCATAATACATTTAGCCATGAACGCGTATGTATTAAAATAATTAGCTTTCTAAAAAGTCAACACGAATACTACTAGATGAAAAGTTAAACTAAACAAAATGAAATTAGACGAAATAATCAAGCGTTCATAAGAATTAACGAGTGTCTGGTCACTTTTGAACCAACTCGTATATGCAGTACATTCGATTTCAACTTTGGCATTGGCTGGTAACGATTTGACAGCGAAAGTTGTCCGAGCTGGATAGTCTTCATTTGAAGGAAACAATGAGGCATAAATTTGATTCATCGATTGATAGTCATTTATATCAGTTAAAAGAACAAGACATCGCATGATTTGAGTCAAATCTGATCCCGCTGCATGTAATATGGCTTGTATATTGTGAAATGCTTGTTTGGTTTGATTTCGAACATCATCCGATACTAGTTGACGTGTTGCAGGATCAATTCCAATTTGACCACTCAAATAGAGAATGTGGTTGATTTGGATGGCTGAATTATATGGTGCAATAGGTTTTGGAGCGCCCTAGTTACAGTTGAAAAATTATGCGCCAATATGACAACAGATTGAAATTTTTACTTACTGGTACCACAATAATCTTCTTCTTAATATTATAGCTTTCTAATTGCTCTTTCATTGTGACTTCTGCCGATTTCTCTGATGCAACAACAGTGCTGCTGTGAATGAAGAGACCAAGAAAAATAATGAATAGAATAATAATTGTTTTCATTCTAGAAGAAGAATGACATATAAGTAAAGTAATTTAGACTGCAACAAAGTATAGTTTTTGTTTTTAATAATAATAATTTATCGTGAAGAAACATTAGTCTACTTGTCTAAAGAGGAGTATCCAAGTCTAGAACGAGCCATTTGAACCCTCATAGGTGATAACTCACTTGACGAAGAGCTCGTATCTATTATGATAATAGTTCTGTCACATTTCATAGTTGAGTGAATGTATCTTCTAAAGAGCTCTGGATGGTATTTCTGGGAAAAATAGTACAAAAATAATCAGTGGCATAATCAGGTATTTTCCAGTAGTGAGTAATTTTTTAGTGAAACTATTTAGAGAGTCGAGCAGCTATGCGCAATTGTCATGATCTCAAAAACTTGTGGACAATAACTTTTGAAGCCGTGAGCAATTTCTCTACAATCATAGTATCTTATTTAAAACCAATGCGTCTGTTTTCTACAGATGAATCAAGGTAAATGTTGTGTTGAAAAAGTAGCCGAATTTCAACTGATTCTATCCTAGATTTAACAAAGGAATGAGTGTAAGGACGGAAACATCAAGTATTTTCTTTTCATTTTCTCGTATTTGTTGTTTTTCAGTGCAATCGACCATTTGAATTGGTTTTCTGGAACAAAGCGAATGACAAAATGATTTGTCATTAGACAACAAATACATATCATCGCTAATTCCAGATACAGTATTGACGATCCTGGTGTCTCAATTATAATAACATCCGCCTGAGTATTTACTATCGATGATAGCAAACAAAACTTTTGTTTTATCTCTTGAGTGACTATGACAAAATCTAGATCTTCCTAGTATAAGAATGAGGCTCTAGCTTTAGAAGACATCTTGGTTGATTGATCCAGTACTCATTTCATTTTCTTTTGTTTTCTAAGTCAGTTCAAAATGAGAGAACTTACGTAATCTATTTCACTACTGGAGTTACGTTTCTTGTTTCGATAGTTAAATCTTTATCCAAACCTAGTATACTATATCGAATCGATAGAACAAATAATCTTTGAATGAAATCAACATTTCCAATCCAGTTGTTTTTATTTCTTCTTTTCTCTCAAATATCGACGGAGTAAAATCTGATTGCATTGTTCTTTCATAGTCATAAAACATACATCTAACATTATCACTTCTTTGTATATTCGATCAATCTCGTGTGTAATAAAACATGCAAATAAAGAATGCAAAGATAAGAGTAGCCTTACACGTATAAATAAGCAATCATTTCTTCTGAACCGAAACTCCAAGTATTGTGCAAAAACAAAGTGTAAAGACAAGCTGGCCAGATTAAGGGAAAGAGTGAATTTGAATGAATTATATGGATGGAGTGTATATATAGGGAGTGATTAAAGATCAAGACGACAGACACGTATTCACTCACACCTAAACCTTCTATGTGATGTCGAACTTGTAAAGAAAGTATTTAATTAATGGTTTAACACTGAAGTTCGTAAGATTCAAATTATCTAATAAAAACCTTACAACAAAAACTGTTATAATTGTCTGATGATGACACATGTTCGTGCCAAAAGTTTGCAATAAAAATGAACTTTCCATTTATTTTCATCTTCATCTTTAAGTTTATAAAAAAAACTCTATACAGGGTGTCCCAAAAGTCCGCCGAAAAGTTTTTCGTAAATATTTCTTATATAAATCAAGCAGTTTGACTTCTCTTTTTTATCATATGATAGCAGGTTCTTTAAAGTTTTATTTCATAGAAAAAAGGTTTACAACAAATGTTCGAAATGATCTCCATCAACTGAAATACATAACTCCATCCTTTTTATAATATTTGAAAAAACGTTACTCAAAGTTGTTTTTGAAATTGATTTAATTTCATTATGAATTCTTGTTTTCAATTCATCCAAATCTTTAATTGGAGATTGGTAAACATTGTTCTTTAGATGGCCCCAAAGATAAAAATCAAGAGGTGTTAAATCTGGTGAGCGTGGAGCCCACCGAATTGAACCACCTCTTCCAATCCACCGGTCAGGAAATTGATCATTGAGATAATGTCGCACATCGGCAGAGAAATGAGCAGGAGCTCCATCTTGCTGAAATATAACAGATCGAACCTTACGAAGCCTTTTAATTTCGGGAAGAAAAAAATCTTGAAGCATTGACAAATAATCCTTTCCATGAACAGTATCTTCTTGAAAGTAAAATGGTCCGATTAATCGATATTTCGACATCGCGCACCAAACATTTATCTTTGGCGACTTCATAACCGTTTCAATTGTAACATTTGGATTACTTTCTGACCAATATCTAATGTTATGTTTGTTAACTAAACCATGTAAATAGAAAACAGCTTCATCCGAAAAAAAAATATTTCCTTGAATTGCATTATCTTGTAACATCGGAATCAAAATTTTACACATTTCAACTCTATCCTGCAGGTCTTCTTCGAAGAGTTGTTGAACAAATTGTGCTTTATAAGGCTTGAGTAACAGGTATTCAGTCATGATTCGATGTGTTGTTGTTTTTGGTATGGAACAATCTGTTGCAATCGTGCGAACACTCGACTGTGGTTCATCATCGATGGCATCCCGAACTTCTTCGACCATATCTTCTGTAATTGTTGAAGGTCTTCCTGAACGTTCTCGATCTTCGACAGAACCGGTTTCACAAAAGCGTTGAAATGTTGCTATAATGCAATCTTTTTTTGGTGCGTTCTTACCAAATTCGACCTTCAATTTTCTCTCAACAATCGTAGGTGATTCAAATTTAGCCATTAACAAAACTGTTCTTATTCTGATGTTCGTGGGAATAGACATTTATCTGAAAATATATGAAATAAAACTTTAAAGAACCTACTATCATATGATAAAAAAGAAAAGTCAAATTGATTGATTTCTATAAGAAATATTTACAAAAAACTTTTCGGCGGACTTTTGGGACACCCTGTATATAATTCTAATATTATAAACATATTGTATTATATGTAAGATTAAAGATTAAACTAAAAGAACGATAGAAAGTGTTGAACATTTTTCAGTAAAAAAATTCTCAGAAAATCATCAGATATTTATTAATTTGAAATTTGTAGGAAGATTTGTATACTCTGAAAATCATTTTTAGTTTCCAATATCCAAAACGAAAGAATCAAATAATGAAAAATATTATACATTTACTCAGCTAGCCAAGATTGAATAGATAAAGCATTAAAATAATCAAAAAATTACAAATTTTATATCTCCAGTCAAATTTGAAGAATAACGGTTTCCAAAAGGAATCATTTCAATTGATATAATAAGTGATCTACATTATGTAAAAGTTATATCGAATATATACACGACTCTATTAACTTTCGAACAAATACTTAATTATATAGAATTTGAGGATCAATTTTTGCTATAAAATATGAATCAGGATGCCCAATAAAACCTTTTTTTTCAGAAATTGTATACCAATGAAAAAAACGTTGAACGTACTTGAGAAAATTCTTCGAAAATGAACCTTTGCTGAATAAAATTTCATACTAACATCATAGCCATCTCAGGAAATTGTAGTAGGATAACAGTGTTATTTGGAGAAGAATTTGTTTAAAACCAGAAGAGACCGAATACAAAGATATTATTCAAATATTACTAATAGACAAAGGCAACCGAAGTTTTCATCTTAACTATACATAAATTTGAGCATTGTCGTTGTCTTGTATTTTTGTAAGTGTCATCATTTTTTAACATTTTGTCTTTATTTATCTACTTCACGTCTACTTTCCAATTGCTCAATGATGACAAGAAAACTGACTACCCGTAGAAAAGAAAAATGTCGAAAAGCAAAATGTAGAAGACGAAAACAGCGCAAGAGAGAACATCGAAAAAAAAAACGATCGAAGAAATAGATGTCGACGATATGTGTACGTTTGCGAATGAGAATGAGAATGCTGAAAGGTAAGGAATAAATTCAAAATAGTTGCTGACCCAATTAACTTTGTTAATCGGACGGTAGAATAAATAAAGTAAACATGAATTTGTAATTTTAATATTACTCCTTTTTCTATATACTTAAATAAAATGTCTCTTCGTTATGTCAAAATCAGAGGAACTCAGTTTTCGATATTTTGCATTTCGACATTTTCCATCAAATTCAAGTATTCCACACATTTGAGATTTTGTATTCTGGATTTTTCAACATCAAATAGTATGATGCAATGATGACAATGTATTACAATTGCAATAGTATTGCGTAATAATCCAAAGAGCTATAAAATAAAAATGATAACACGTCAACAAGAGTAAGAAAGAAAGAAAAAAGTAACAATGCGCACATGTATTGAAGATTTATCAACAGAGCTGTGGTTCATTATTTTTCGTTTTCTCACTCGCGAACATCTTGTTTCCGCATTTAGTAAACTCAATTCTCGTTTCGATGTTCTTCTCTCCTCACCTCATTTACCCACCATATTTCGTGTCAAAATCGATCGATGTGATGCATATCCCACTGTTCACAGTTTGAAGTCGTCGAACAATCTAAAACTTGAATGGATTCAAGCATTAGAAGCACATGAACATGTGCCAGGTGGATATGTGATACAATTTCTTCGTTTTCAAACACCTCGACTCATCAATCTACGTTCATTGAATATTTCTATTCGTGCGAAACATGCATCAACTAATTTAGACTATCTTAGCAAAGCTGTGTCTCAATTATATTCATTACAAATCTTCAAACTTCAATGTGAACAAAATCATGTCGATAGAATAATCAGTTGTTCCCTTGCTCAATTATTCAAAACTATTCTTCAAGTTTCATGTCTAAGGCATTGTACTCTTCATCTGTGGAACTTAGCAGAGAAGAACTTCGACTATGAACGTATCACTAATCTACCTACAAATCAATCAATTGAATATTTACATGTCACTGGTGTTGATAGAACAATTCTCTTCACTTTTCTTTCCTGTTGTCATAGATTAAAAACATTTGTTGCTGAGCGAAATGCAACTGAGGACATGTTTGTTTCAAAGAATTCATCTTATTTAATAACATCTGATCGTTCTTGCCCTACTCTTTCTACTATGACACTCTCAATATGTAATCTACGATTCGATGAATTGGAGAATGTTTGTGCTTATGCAGCTTATCGTATTCATCACCTTCGACTCGTCTATTCAGTTTACGTATTTACTAACCATTATGAAGACTATTTAGATTATTTCGATCAAATTCGTTGGACAAATTTGTTAGAAAATATTGAAGTAGTAAATATAGCTATTCAAATTCATGCCTTAGACGATGTTGCAAAAGATATTGTTGGAAATATGGTAAAGATGGATTCACGGTTCACATGGACTGAAAATAAGAATCAACCTTCCTATGCTTGTCTAACCATCAAGAAACAAAACTGAAGTAGTTAGATCTATTAAAAGAAACTTTTTCTTTGAAATATGTGCTGTTTATTGAGATAAAACTTCGTGCTCAGAGCGAATTTTTCTTTAACAAAGTGTGATGAGGTATTCAGGGATATTGTCCAACTAGGATTATTCGAATGGTAAGAATTAGAAAGATAAACATGTTTGACATCAAAAGGCTAGTTCAACAAGCGTACTATTCTATACAATGTTCTAATTTCTGTCATAGATATTTATCTTTGGAAATGGTATACTTAATTGTTTTAACAGTCAAAGTCTGAATATAAAGGTGATTGACATATATATACGTATATATTCAACGTTTGAATATCAAATAAACGTATGACAGTATTTCAGGGTGGGCGTGGGTGTTGGTAAGGGTTTAGGTATGGGTAGAATGAATACCCACGCCCACACCCTTGCCAAGCCATTCTCCAGAAACTTTGCAAAAGGGAGAGAATCCTCAATAAAAGTGCTTATTAATGTTTGCTTTCTATTGACAACAACTGATCGAGACGGTCTTGATCAGGCATCAGTAATTGAATTCTGAAGAAAAATGAATAAGAATCAATGGAGTGAAGATTTCTGGATTCGAACGATCTTTGATATTTTCTAATTTTGATGAAATACAAAATATATTATGAGGACTGTCAAATAGAAACTACTACGCAGAGTAGTCAAATATTCTCATTGTTTTGTTTTCTCCTAGTCAATTTGAGATAGTGTCTGTCGCTTTGTTCTTGCAATATATCACTCCTTTTCTCATTTTCAACCTTGAATATGATGCATAAGTCTTTTCTTAGGAAGTGAATCAATTGAATATACTGACTATATGTTTGAGATCAACTTCACCAATTAGGCATCTCAGAGTGTGAGTATCTATTCAAGAGAGAGTCACACCATACCCATACTCACACGCCAAATCGTCTGTTAGCAATCAAAACTGTTATGTGAATGTTTGGTTTTTTCTACAAAATGGAAACACAATCATGATACTATTTAGTTGGTGTTGTTGTTAATAGAACCCGATTTCGTTTGCAGCAGGTCCTGCAGATGACGCTACTGTTTTATTTATTTAACTATTTTCTCTTAAATATTGGATAAAAATGTGAATTTATGTTAAACATATATTAATATAATAATATTTCATAAAAAATAATCTTTGACTTTACAATCAATGTGTACCGCATATTGATAGAGTGCTGTATATTCCAATAAAACTTATCATACTCAAAAATAAATTATCTGTGTAAAGATGGCAAACTTGATTTATCGATTCTTAATTCAAAAGCAGTTTCTAATATCAATGATATTGTACGTTTATTTTCGTTTGATTCTTCTCATAATTTATATGTTTGGTTATATTTTCAGTTGAGTTTACGTAAAGTTAAATCAATCAATTTATCAAATAATCAAATTGAATCTTTATTTGGATGTATTCTTTTTCTTCTCAAATAAAATATATATATATTGACTTTTCTTCAACAATTTTTAGGATGATTTTATTAAACTTCAAGGTATTCATACATTTGATTTATCAAAAAATCATCTCACAAAATTACCTGAAAATTTTCGTCAGTTAAAATCAGTAAAACCGCTCGATTTATTCAAGAATCATGTTACAAATATACCATTTGATTATTGTAACTTAATGAAATTAGAAGTAAAATTGTTATTTTTATATATAATTATTCATTTTTTGGTTTCTATTTTACTTAATATTTGTATTTCAAAAAATTATTTTGATGCTGATTGACAAAATCAAACTGATAAATATTTAAATGAAAAAGAATGTCAATTATGTGCTGAAAAATTTCTGCAGTATATTGAAACACCTAAAGCAAAATATGAAAAAGAACAAGGTTTTAAACAAAAAAGAAAGAAGAAAGCGAAAGCTAAAAAACATAAACAACAAGCAGAAAAGTTTTTTTTTCTCGTATTATCTGTGTTATGTTGATGAATGAAATAGGGAGTCGTATGGGATATGATTAGCCAATATCTTTTTTTTTCTAATTCTTTTTATTTTCTTTTTCAAGATTCTTATCTTTTAGTCATCATGGTCCATCTATCATTAACTCGATATGTATGTTTCAATATCTATACATGAAAAAAAAAATATAATTGACATATTTTGTTTAGGCATCTATTGGTTTTTTTGGTATTGGTAATATGGGTAAACATATGGCAACAAATCTAATTGCAGCTAATCATCAGGTAACAGTTTTTGACATTAATCCACAAGCATTTGACCATTTTAAAGGACAAAGTAAAGAATTATTTTTTTTTTTTTTGTATGAAAGATAGATCTATTTCATTGCTTTAGAACAAGTTAAAATAGCTTCTGTACCACAAGAAGCAGTAGCAAATTCAGAATTTATTGTTTTAATGTTACCTAATGGTAAAATTGTACGTGATGTGTGTCAATCAAATATTTTTCCGTATGATAGATAGAAATAGTTTTTCCTGAAGTTTTGATTTTACTTTTAATTAATTGATTAGTTCGGCTAAAAAAGGTACATGTATTATTGATTGCAGCACAATTGATATACGAACATCTAAGGAAATGGCGGAACTAGCTCGAAGTAAACAATTAAATTTTGTCGATGCGCCTGTCGCAGGCGGTTAGTAATATATATATATATATATTGTTGCAATTTTTTGTTTAATCTTTCAATACTATAGCTACTATTGGTGCTCAAAAAGGTACATTAATATTTATGGTTGGTGGTCAACCAAATGATCTTAAAGCTGTGGAACCTATTCTTGGTAACATGGGCAAAACTATTGTCCATATTGGTGCAAATGGTAGTGGTGCAGCAGCTAAAATTTGCAACAATCTTCTCGTAGCTATTAGGTAAAAAATGTAAAAAGAATTATAAATTTATACTGTTTTATTGTTTAAGTATGATTGGCACTTCAGAAGCGATGAATCTCGGTATCAAGTAAATATTTTTATTTTAATCTTTTTAATTCTAAATAATCTAATCTTGTTTTTTTCGATAAGACTTGGTCTTAATAAAGATGTATTAGCCAAACTAATTAATTCTTCAAGTGGTCAATGTTGGTCAAGTCAAACATATAATCCATGTCCTGGTGTTGTTTCTAACGTACCATCTAGTAACGACTACAATGGTGGTTTTACTAGTGAACTGATGACTAAAGACCTGTTACTTGCTCTTGGTAAATAATTTTCTCTTTCTTTCTTCTTATTACTAAATCTCATGATTTGTTTTGTAGATGCTGCAAAACAAGTTAAAGCTTCAACTCCATTAACGGAAAAAGCTACTGAACTCTATAATCAGCTTTGCTCAAATGGACTGAATAAAAAAGATTTCAGTGTTATCTTTAAATATCTCAATGAACAATGAACAATTCATGCATCTTTTTTACTATGGTATATTTAGTTATCTTTCAAAATATAAATATACAAAAAAAAGAAAAAAATGAAAAAAAAAATAGAAATGAAACAAGACGTAGCATCCTGCAATAGGTAGGATAGATACACGCGTACAAATGAAAGAAAAAAAAAGAACATAGAATCGATAGCGAAAGATAAATAAACATAGAAACATTCCTTTATTGGTTTTTTTTCATGCTATTATTATTGATGTGAATGTCGGCGGTTGCGGATATGTAGTTTCTTTTCATCTACACTCACCTATATCTACATATATCCTCATGATCTGTCTTTACTCAAAATTAGGTGATCAAGTGATCCAGATGAAGGAACTACGATTGATTTTTGATGTTTTCGATCAGAGAAGACCTATGTTCGAGAAAGTACCTGACTGCTATAAAACTTGATTAACGACTTGTGGGATTCAGTAATCGGTTTTCGAAGTTTCGACTTATGTCGTTTTTTTGTTTCTGTATACTCATGTTATGAAAATAACACTTTCTTATAAAATTTGACTGAAGGTTTCTGGGGTCCGAGAACCGAGATTGACGAATGTTTTTAAGTCGTTTTTTGAAACTTTTTGTGTTCTTGGATTCGCGACGAAAGGCATATTTTGGACAAATGAGGTTTTTAATACAACTTAATAAGCATCGTTAAAGTTTGAAGTTACCATGCCTGTGTAAAGGCAAGACGGAAACTTTTGGAAAACTGATAATAGATTCGCAATCCTGTACCACGAGACCTTTGGTCAATCCTTATAAAAATATCGTTATTATCTCAAGATAAGCCTTTCTTGGTCAATCCAATAAAAAGAAACGTTTCGAAAATCGAGTAGAGGTTCGGATTTCTCAATCTTGAAAACCTTTTGTCAAATTTTCAAAATGTCAGTTATTTCCTCAAGATAGAAGTTTCCTAATCGAAAAGATCAAAATTAAAGGATGTAAGTGTGGGTATGGATCTTCTTTTTTACCAATTCCACACCCTGTTCGATTGATTATGACACTTATTTTGTAATCAAACAAAAAAAATGTGATAAAAATATAAAACTGATAAGAAAAGGAACGAGTATATGAGTTGCTAGCTAAGTATAATAAATTAGAAGTCCTCACCGATAAGGTAGAAAAAAATGAAAAAAAACGGAATAAATTATTAAATCATGTCCTTCGAAAGTTCTTGATTCTTGAGGTAACACCACTACGTTGAATTGTTATATTCTGCAAATGAAAAAAATGTTTACAAAATTTTATAGTAAAATAGTAATAAATACATAAGTTACTGATTTAACTCCGAAGGCATTATTCAGATATGCGTCTTGCGTTGGAAAAACTTGGAGTCCTATCAAACGAAGTCTAGTAAGATGAGAATTTTTTTTTATAATTCATATCTAAACTCGAAAAGAACTGCAAAGCTTATTAAACTGATGAGATAACTTCTTGAGATGTCCAGTCCTTGATTGATCGAGACCACATCTAATCAATAAGGCCTAGCGAATGTGAAATTCTGATTGGTCAGTGTATGTTTATCTTTAATCGTAGTTTATAGTAAAGACATGCGGACCAAGTACAGGAGAAAATTCAGACATCGGTCAACTGGAGAATAGGAGTAATGAAATCGATTACTTTCAAATATTATGGGCTCCTTGCTATACGACTGATGTTACTTAATATTTAAGAAATGAATACGCTAAGAAAGAGTAATTCTGATCAGGGTTCTATTCGAATACTTTACTCATTTCTGAGAAAAATCTTTCGAGGACCATCGTATGATCTATAAACACATATCAAATGAATAATTTATGCTCCAAAATCTTTTGTCCGTAATAGTTGGATTATCTAAGGTAAAACGTTTATTGTTCGCGATATAATCGTATACACAACAAATGGAATAAATTACAATATGGCAGTGTCTATCGAATGCAAGTTAAAGGAAAAATTTCATTCACTGCATTAGTACGGGTGATTCTATATTCATGTACCTTTTAATCATATATAAATGAACGTAAAACTATTGGGATGACACTACTATTGAACAAATCCACTGTCGAATTCATCGTTCAATAGTTCAACCGTTTCTTGTCAATAATAGTAATTGAACAAGTCGACCTAATCAATAGTAATGCAAAGCTTAAGAAAGTGATTATTGGCATGGAAATATCAATATCGGTCCATTTCACTTGCTGCTAAACTATGAGAACGTTTGCGTTTAAGTTTCATATTTCATGAAAGAAAGAGTTGTACAATAGTGAATCATTGTCGCACGTAAGTTTCATAATCTGCAATAGCGACTCTCCTTTAATGCAAATAAAACAAACTTCAGGTAGGATTCCTTCTGTATGGAAATCTAACATTCGAATCAAAAGAAGATGTATAAGTCTCTAGTCTTTAATCTCTTTAGCTTAAGTATCTTTATTCCTCCAAGAAACATATCCTTACTCATCTTATAGCATCGAAATCAATGGTAGAGAAGCAAAAATTGAGAGCAACAAATAGAACTTGTTTGAATTACACATTGCTCAGGTTCCAGCATCATACATTCACACCTCAGAGTGCTTTGATACGCTCAGAATAGAGCTTATGAGAATTGTGAGAGACCTGTTTATTTGCTGCTCAAACAATTTTTCAGTTTTTTTCAACAGTTCTCTCTCTATTCTCCAACAAAAACACATCTAAAATAGTTTCATGCAGACAAGTAATGAACAAACATTTTTTCCAGACTATTTAAATTCATCATTTGCTTAGATAGATAAGTTAATAGATAGGCTATTATAAGCCCTCATCTCCATAGGTCTCTGTGCAAAATGCTTGGTACACAACTATTTTCGAGCCTCATCCATTGTAGATTCGTTCACAAAACGCCTATATGAGAAACTTCGACAGGTTCTTTCTCTTTTCCACTGAAGGAATTTTTCACGTTTTGTAACACAGCTGGTTTTAGTGTATACAGTACAATCGAATAGTCATGAAAGAAGTTTCTCCATTAATGGAAGTAGGGACCGAAACTATTCTATGCTGTATAAGTTTAAACTATCGAATGTTTCGATTATCTAACTCACTGATAAATACATCTTCTAACTGCTTTCTCTTCTTCTGAAAGGTTTGTATTTGAACATAATCTAAGATTATCACATAGATTTTGCAGTAAATTATCGTCCAAAGTATATCGTACCTTGGATTACGCGGATGCTCGCCATCCAATTCCTGGTCTACAAGTAAATCATCGAAATTCGGACAAAATCGTTTGTTACTGGTATTCAAACCGGCGATGTCGGAAGATTTACGTAAGCGGCATGAGGAGCAAACATTCGTAGTTGGTGCGATGCTTGCTGAACAAAAAATAGTGAGTCTGGTTAAATAAGAGTGGTACACTCACGCGCTAGATACAGAAAATTGGATTTTGCAATGAACTTATCATCTTGCATGGCAACGATCGAAACAGTTCGATTTTGGTCATCCGACGCCATTAAACATGCTGGTGTCTTAAAGATAATTGTCTTCATGTCAACGAATTCGTATGCAATATTCTTTTTCTGATTCAATTCCACAAAATCAAAATAAATACGAAGTGCTTCAACAAAAAAACAAGAATATTTTGAATAAAAATTAGACATTAGAAAACACCTTTCTTTCTATCGAGTCTGTTAATAACCATCAAAATATTGTCGCCCCCTGCCCAGTTTCCTTTTTCCGGTGCACATATAGCAAGTCTTTCATCCTCACCACTTGCCGTAACGATTGAAGCACCAGTGGCTTCATCTAAAAGTGAAAACAAAAGATGTCAACAAAATAGATACAGTTTCTTTTCTCCGTTACTAATGTTTTTATTCGTTCCGTCAATCATCACCTGCGATGATACCGAAGTGCCAGGAAGTATATTAAACACATTACCATCAACGCGCTTGGCTAAAGAAAAAACAAATTGAGATTTCCACAATTGATATAATTTGATTAGTTGTTTGCTGCGTTGCTTATTCGTAACACAAGGAATATGTCTTCGATCTTTCAAATGAGCAAAAAAGTAGTTTTATTGTGACTATTATTTTCTTACCAGAGTTGGTAATGCGGAAAGGACTGTGTGATCTGAGCTCCTTTTGTAGTGACTTCTTGCGAGTTAGATGAAAACTGAAGAAAAAATCAAAATTGAAACTTTGAAGCCCTTCTGTCGTTTTTTCGTACCTTTTTCGACCGCTCATAAAATCGTCATTTGTGATTGGGAAGTAGATGGCATTGTTAGAGTGATCTTTCACAACACAAGGCTCATCAGTACCAATTCGATATGGATGCACACACGCCATGGATACCTTCTCATTGGGCACAGTAACAGAAGCGACACGTACGTACGGACGATCAATGTTCCCATACCACGCTCCTAATATCTAATTAAGAAAACATAACGGAATATTTTTCTGTGTTTTTGTAATGGACATCTAATTTGAAATACGAAAAAGAAAAGTCGAGATTAAATGAGCCACAAAACAATCGAGAAGTAGTGTATTTTAGGTTTGCAAAGCACGGTCTACGAAGCTTACAAGGGAAAATGTTTAAGTGCTAATCGCAGACCCGAAGGAGTTGTACTGTGGCTGATAGAACTTGATAAGCTGGTTACTATGGTAGCAAACACTTTCTCCATAGTGTATTTTGTAGACTCTTCAGTTGCAATTGACAATATGAAATGTCACATAAAAGAACATAGCGGAGAAGTTTGTGTTGAGGAATGCTCATGGAGCAGAACTCTTTTAGAATGGAAATGATTGCTGTTGAAAAATGAAGAAACATTACAGTTCTATATAAAACATTGATCTGTCATGAAAGTGGAATAGGAATCTTTCACATATCAAAACGGTCGATATTTTGGCTCAATGTAGCTCCAAGCCGACCAAGAATATAAAGCCATAGGAGCAAAGTTGTGTGTGAACAAGCGATTGAGACTTGATTGTACCATTAAAATTTATCAAATACAATACATAATAGATCAAATTTAGTGTTGTTCTTCTGTTCTAAAAGCTGATTGAGACTGTACATAATTCATTATTAGGTTTTCTCAATGAGATATGATCTTTTTCTACTTATAGAAATCCTGCGCGGATAATGCAGAATACTGTCTCTGCTCATATAACTGAACTGTCTGATCAAGGTTACTTTTCTACTTCTTATTACTACTCATATAGAACGTACTATGGAAGAAATCGTTTACTACCATCGTAAACAGCTGATCGAATTCTATCGACAAAGATACGATTCGTTCGGATCTGCAATTAATACTTGAACATATTCTCTCCTGAATCTAACCTCACAATTTTCAGAGAAGAATTTGTGAAAGAAATCTAAATGTGCAGCTTTAGCTTATAATTTATAGGAACACTCATTGTTATCAAAAAACGGTTACGACTCTTGGTGCTCATTGATCAACAGCAGAATTTTTGAATCGTCTTAACTTGAAGTGAAGTGAAAAATGCTTGTTATCAATCGAATGAAGCTCGAATTTTGCTGACAAAGATTATTAACAGTAGTATCGACCTCCGAAGTATGTCACTCTTCTTAAAGGCTTCCAGATCTTCGGATAAATTTGTTGACAGTGGTAACGCAATCATTAATTGCGAAACACTTTGGAAAATTGAACAAAAGAAGGTAATCTATCATCTATCCGTGTCTATTAGATAACTTTATCTACCAATATGATGAAAACTTTTCCGAACTAAATATACAGTTTTGCCGCGATAAAATTAAAGTCCTCAAGATTATGAACATAATGATGTCTTTGGTTGAGATTCGAAATTTTCTGAATTTTTCTTTGAACACAAGGAAAGGTTTTAAGCTATTTAGCACGTTGAGTGCAAATGCCTGTAGCTGATTGTTCCTATCCACGGTATTCGGATACTGGAGTACTGGAATATTCAGGATATTGAGGTGAGAGAAAGAGAGTTTCATCTCTCTTTTTTCTCGACAGTATTCGAGAAAAGAATTGCGTCTAAAGAAACTTGATAGCAAGGACTCTCCAGACCAGCACTTGCCGCCACCGAAATAAAGTTGTGTGTATCTTGTATCGGTGAATATCCTAGTACTCATGAATATTCTGTTACCCTAATACTTAGTGACACCCTACATATCCTAAATATCTCATATGCAATATATACTCTGATAAAAATCTAAATATACTATTTTTGGTTCCGGAGTTCGAGTGTCATTGAAATGCATCTACTAGTGAGATCTCTACAGATAAATAGAAAAATTGGTAATTGTATTCTTGCCTCGATCGAAAGGAGAAATTAGAGGAGCATTAGAACCATTAAATAGATCGAGTATGGATGGGATGCTTGTTTATGAATGTTCTTGAGTAAAATCTAAAATGATCTGAGTGAGTTTCATGTGTTATGCATTTGACAAAATTTCTTCTGATTGGTCATCATTTTTTTCGAACTATAAAACTTTTACTTTTCTTATCTCTATTAATCAATATCGACAATAGTATTGATTTTCTTACCTCTATAGTTGGATATGAGAGATTTAACTGATTATTATCATCAGCACGAATGTAACGTTTAGCTATATTTTCAGTTTGATCTATTTCACTTCCATATCTTTCGCGATAGAATGCCTTAGGTTGTGCAATAATTCGAAGTTGTTGAATTGGTTCAGTCATTGTGAAAGTTTGACTTGATTAGTAGATGAAGAATTCGTAGAGAAATTCGCAAATAGTAACTATGAATGCAACGAGATTGATATTGATGTTTAGCTATTAATCTTTTGAGATTGAGAAACGTCAAACCGAATTTCAGGATCTAGAGGAAGAAAAAAAAAGAATAATTTGACGAAAATTTCAATAAAAAAAAAACTCGTATCACACTTGAGTCGACACTGTCAAGAAACATGAGGTCGCTTATGATATCCTTTAGAGATAAGCAAAACCGATAAACGATTATATTATGTTTTATTAACTACGAACAATATTTTACAAAGCGACAAATCATTCATGTTATCTATACTGTACAGATAGCTTATATCTTTCGTTCTGTTCATTCGTCTCCTTGTTATAATCTTCGTCCACGATAAAACCTAGAGAACGGATTCTATGATGATCAACTCGGTAACACGACAATACAGTGACCATTGAAGTAGTATTCAGATCGACGAATTATCGAATGTCGAAGATAACTATACAAGCTCGAAGCCAATTGTCTTGAAAACAACAAAATGATGCATCAACGAACAAATTGACTTTTCACTCGAGCGAAATCGAATAGAAGAAAATAATCATCACCAAGTTTATACAAATATGAAATACAACAATATACATAATAGCCAAACCTCCATAACAACGATGTCAACGGCAGCGCTATCCCTATACTTCAATTCGAACCGCGTATGTGGTAAACAGACTGCTGCTTGTATCTACCTACGGATCTGGGTATGCTCAGAGAGATCAATCATGTATGTAAAATGAATCTAGCATACAAGAATTACACGAAAACAGCTAACAAGATACGATTTTCCCTACTCTATGCCAGTTCTGCAGCATAGTTCGAAAAACTAATGATCAAAAGAAACTGATTGGATACACTGTTTGGCAGTGAATACAAGCTGGGTTTCACAACTAAGATACCAACTTCGTACTCAATTGTTGTTCACAAAACACCTGTTTAATGAAATACGTATGTTTTCCATAATGAACTCAACCAACGGTATTCAGCAAATATCAGCATCGAACGATTTTGTGTGAAAAGCAGAAGAAGCTATGGCAACTACTGAAAACTATGCGAATATTAATGGATGAAAAGTCTACTAGTTATGCTATTGAACCATATAGACTACTGACATGAGTTCTACGCTGCTACATTTGTCAAGAATACGACGGCCACGTGGCAGTTGATTGCCAAAACAAAAGCAATGCGATATGCTTTAGTTGCGGTCAACATTACTCATACAATGTAAACTGTTGAAACACTATTCAATATGTACATTTTCAAGGTAATGTTATGACAGATAGTCCTAATGGTCCGACGAAAATGTCAATGACCTCTAAAGCCATCGAATTGAGTCCTACCTCAGAAGAAAATGCAGAAATGACAAAATGTCTAGCCGAACAATAAGGAACATCTGAGATATGGTAATAGTAACGAGGCAAAAACAAGAAATGTCAAACCTATTTTTTATTCAAGTTTACGCCCAGGAGAAGTATCACGTCTCGATGCAATAAACTTGTCAAATACATAGATAAGGAATCCAACTTTTATGCCAATATATTAAATCTATTTCACACGATATCCAATAAAGAGACGAGTTGAACGACAACAGGTGAATCCTTATGGCGAAATATTTATTTCCAATCCGAAGGAATTATCGTTTACTTCTTTAGAACATATATTTAAACTACAATCAAAAACTCTACAAGAAGTTCTACTCAAATCGAGACGTACATTAACATTGGATGAATTATTATCCAAGTCAATGGTTACGACGAAAGTAAACAATGTAGCTATAGTCTTAAACGGCCTGTAAATCACTCATTTAGTATCAACACAATTACTGCTGTGTCGTATACGACTGCATACAGACGCTTTTTATAGCAAAATCACTACCAATATACCGTCGTATTCAATCATCAACGGTAGTATAAACTACAGTTTTCGATCATATCTCGTCTTAGCATTCGTACGTACTGTCAAGAAAAATGGTCACTTATGATGACTCGACCAATCATGTCGCCTTTCAAATATACAGTTATGAAAACAAATATTGCGTACCACTAAAGCCCTTAAAAGCCTTTTTCATCGAAAAAAATTTTTTTCCACGAAAATCGCCTTTATCGACGGTATGGATTACAAAAAGATCTTACAACGCCTAATTTCATCAGAATCCAGTCATTTCTATTAAAAACCCTATATTTCCAAGCTGGTGCAGAGGAAGCCTGTAAAGACATTTTTTTATTAAACTACTGTTTCTATAGAGAAAATCATCTCCTATCCAGATGCTACATACCGAAAAAGGGTTTGAAGTGCCTGATTTGATCACATTTCAATCGTGGATATATTATATTATCCGATTGTAATGTGTGAAAAAAGCGTTTTCAAATACATAAGAAGTAAACAAAGTATTGCTGTCTAACTCACTCTGAGGATTTTCACATCAGCGGACAACACGACAGCTGCCCGCACACAATTGAATCATTTTCGCTGAATATCTCGTTTAATCCGTTTTCCTTCTTTGATAACTACTGTGCTATGATGGCTGACCTTCGGTTAGAGAGAGATACGAGAGTACTACATCATATTTGTCTCTAGTCATTCCATTTTGCTGACATAAATGCCTTGAACGCACATTTTTTTCTAGTGAAATGACGTTTTCGAAGAACAAATGGTTCTCGATAAGCGTTGACCAAAGGTTTTTCAAGTAGAAGAACCCGAATGTGTGCTGCGTGATTCACAAAACTAAGCCAATTTTTCTTATTCATGAAAAACTTTGAGAGAAGGCAATGATTCATTACACTATCTCCCATGCGAATCGTCAGTGCGATAGGTGTTGATGTATTGCGAACATCGTATACAGCGCCGTATTTTTACACTAGCTGTTAACACAGACTCCGTTTACAGTGATTGCATACGATGAACGTGACACACCTTTAAAAAGTTGACGATTATTGTAAACAGCCATGGTACATGACTGATCTGATTAGTGTAGACTATGTTGTATCGAATGCAACGTTTTTCAACTTAAAAACTTGTGAGATCCGTGAGATAATCTTAAATTACAGGATAAATTCTCAAGATAGCAATTCATAGAGACCAAAATGTATTTTGTATACTAATTAGTTTGGCTTGTATTTTGTCTAGACAAAACGAAATTATCAAATACTTTGAGTTTTGAAAGGATGTTTCATTTCAGAAAAATAAATCGAAAAAGAACCTTTTATCACAGGCAGGCTATCAGTAGTAGAGCCCCATAGGATCCGCCAAGTCGAAAAACTTTTTGATGTATCTAATAATACATTACGGATTTCTCTAAATTTTTGTTTGTTTGATTCAAAAAAGATCAGAAAAGTTTATTAAGAGATTTAAGACATCCTCAACCGAATCCGGGTGCAGAAATTCTTGAACTCGATGAGGTCTAATAGGTAGGAGTGTCACTCTAAATCTACTTCATATGTTACAGTTAGAGGCAAAGTAACACATTTAAAAACTTTAACTTTAAAAAAATTAAAGTATATTACCAATATTTACATTTCGTTACTGATCAATCAGATGTGTGGAAGTTGTTTTTTGCTATTTTAAGAAGAAAAAAAACATCATGCTTTGTTCTGACAATAGAAAAAAAAGCCCTGATTAAATTTGATCAGCTGGACTCTTTTCGATGTCAACCTATTGGATTTCAGTAGCGTTTTTTTCTTCTATGGTGAGGACAAAACATGATGTGGTTTGGAAGTATTGAGAGTTTTTCAGTGTCCTCTTTAATATGACCCGACGAGCTCTATTTTTTCTTTTTAAAATAGCAGAGAAACAGTTTTCTTGCATTTGATTGGTCTTTAGAGAAAAGCTATCAGCCAATCATGTTTAAGCAGAGTTTTTCCTTCATATTTTGAGATCAAAGCATATTGCTATTAGGTTCATATGAAAGATGGCCCGAAGCAATGATTTTGCTAAGAAAACAAAGATAACTTTAAGAAAAAAAAATCAACGCTGATTACTCGGAGCATTGTACATAATAGCATTCAACTTGAATTTTTTAGAGTTAAAGTTCAAAGTGTGTTACTTTAACATAACTTTTCAAGTAAAATTAAAGCGATACTCTTAGTTATAGACAAGCTTTGGTAGTCTTCTGACGAACCTCTCCTAAACTCTACGCCGAATAAGTACCAATACACATCAAACAATGACTTCGATGACTCTTTTGCTAAAAATATTCTTTTCCTTGTTGAGATCTGAATGAAAATGGGGAGAAGTACCGTGTTGTGGAGACCAAACGACTTGTTGTTATTCGTTCGAAGTTATACTTGAGTGTTTTTTTGAACCAAAAGGTCTATCTATTAAGTATATCTTCGAATCCAACGGCATCTAACGTCCGCCGTTGCAGTGCTTTTTTCTGATATACTACTTTGAAGCGTGTACAGAATTTACTGCCGTAAACAATTTTCATAAGGCGCGCTTTGCTTTCATGCGAATTCTAAAAAAAATTAATTAACATATTTATTTGTTCACAACTATTTTTCCTTTTATGGTCTTTTTCACCCCGCCCACCCCCCCCCCCCTTTGCTCTTACTAAGGATTTAAGCAATTTAGAAAAAAGAAAATTATATGGAATAGTTGTTGGATTTATATTTTAGCTCGAATCTGCTCTTTTTATAATAGGAAAAAAACATTTGAATGTTATTCTCCTATATACGATATAATATTCGTGTAAAAAATGAAGTTTTACGTTTCAGTACTGAATTGCTCTTTTAGCATCAATCGATTAAAAAAAATGAAATAAATCGACTCTTATTGTGTCGATATATACATATTTATGCTGTGAGTTTTAGTGGACTAGATGAATCAAATTGTTTTATAAATTCATCAGAATTTAATAAGTTATGATAAATATTCTTGTTTCGAAATACAATACCAATTTTATATAAAATTATAATCAGGGATGTGCGGCGCATGGTGTGCG